AGGTCTTGTTCATTGTTGGTGAAAATTCTGGTGAAAATGAAGAGCTAATCATGGTGTCTGTGTTGAAAAAGAGTGTTTTGTAGCTGAGAATTTGTTCTATCAAATAGTGTTATTGTGCTTTTCTTACCTGTTGTAGTTTCCATGGAAATAAATAGGAGGCATTACTTTCAGGGTGACTGATGTTTATTTTTATATATATATATATATATACACGTATAAATCTTGTTGCTTTTGATTGTTGGTTTGGCTTATGTATGATTATTATTATACTTAAATTAACAGTATTTCAAAATTACTTAAGCTTCTTTTCTGATTATAGATGAAATTGCTATCTTAATTGGAAGACCAGATAATGAATCCAAGAAATATATTCCTGTGGCCCTATCTTTTATTGAGCTATTGAGGTTGAGATTAAAAAGTGATGGGAATTCTTACTGACAGTTTCAAGAAAGTTAATAATTTCAAGCCTTCTCCCAGAACTATCTTGCAGAATCTTAACATTAATATAATAAAGACTGTTACACAATTAATTCCCCTTTTTACGATATATATTTCTTTTAACCTATGGGGATACTTTAAATTCTGGAATGTTTTATGTAGGGTTGGGAATATGTTTCTATCATATCAATGAACGCAGTTAGTAGCCACCACAGCCAGTGTAGAAACACTGAGAAACACTGAGGAAAGTACTGTCTTTCCCTGTGGTCCATAACAAGTCTAGATGAGGAATTTGTCCTATATTTATACTGTCTCTTCTTTATCTGAATAAAACTAAGCCTTGTATATTATTAACACAGGATTTAGCAGGAGGATAGAAGTGTTTGGAATCCTACTTTATGTAATAATCTCAAAAAAGTTTTGGTTTCAAATACTGCAGCATGGCATCCTGAAAATCGTGCTATTTTGTTCCTATGGAGATTGCAAATCATTTCATCCATTTCATGAGGTTTTCTCTATCAGAACTTCTGGTAATTTCTGTCGTACTCTCGCTGCATTGCTAGTTGATATCATTGGACTCTTGTCATAAAACAAAATGAAACAAAACAACAGAAACACGAAAATGAGCTATTATCTTGGATGTAATAATCTCCTTGCTTTCCTGTCAAATGCTTCACTGAAATGTTTGTTTTAATCTGTATGTGTATTCTAGAATATGGTTACTTTTTCCAGTATCCAGAATTGTGAGTCACAATTTATGACTAATTTCTTGATTTGAAAAGGCTCAGGAACATCACTCTTCATAGATATGTTGCTTTTGTTAGACCTGTTTTCAGAGTTTAAAAGTTGTGATGGAAGTAGTCTTGAGATGAGGAATTTGGCTATGGATGATAAATGGGAATGAAAGTAATTGGAGGGAAGCATGACAGAGAGCTTATTTCCATGTCTTGCAAAGCTAGGTATGACACTTTACTCCATCTGTTCCCATCTTTGAAATGGAACGGGTTAGGCTGTTGTACACTGGGAAAGATTCCTATTAGGAGGAGAAAGAAACAAGGTATTTGCAAGGTCAACATGACTTATGCTGGACCTGTGTGTCTCCAATTTAACTGGCCAAAAGATTGAGCAGTTCTGTGCATGACCAGCAGCCATTAGCGTAAAAAGCTGAAGTCTCCTGCCTGAGTCAGAAGAGGTGGCAAGCGGATATGTGTGTACAAATCCACATTTTCATCTGTTTTCCCTTATCACTGTGACTGTGTTATCTGTGTCCTTGTAGTCCAGTGACAGACTATGTTTGTATGAAAGCCACAAAGAGGAACCTTAAGGAACTAGTCTTTTTTTTGTTTGTTTATTCAGTCTCACGCTTAATCATAGGGAGGAAAAAAAGTTGTCATTAAATTAATCTTTATAGAACTGGAGATAAATTTATATAGTGTGCGACTTTGAAGAAAAAATTGTATAAAGCATTTCCTTAGCAAATGGAAAAAGAAGGACCTTTAAAAACAACTATGTATGGATTTTTACACTTTTTGTTATAGAAATGTGGCTCGTATTTGTATTGAATGAATGGAATAATTTGCTACACTTTTTATTATTATCCATGATGTTTAATATTCTTGTATTAAACAAAAGTTAAGAAGCAAGAACTAAACAGTAGGAGTTATCACTTTGAATTTTACCATGCAAAATTAATAAATAAACAGTGTCTACTAATGTGAGGTTGGGGTTTAAATTAAAGTTGGCATGGGGTTTACTTATATCTCCTGATATTTGAATTCAATAAGGGAAATCCTGAATTTATAATTATTTATGATTAATATCGTTATTAAAAATGAAGTGCCCACCATTTAAAGACAGTGATACTAATAATACTAACCTTGATTGCTGGAGAGCTGCCAGCTTGTCATCATACAGCAGAAATATATAGTATTTGAACTGAGAAAACATGCCGTTGTTCCTCCCTCTCCTTATTCCCACAAACTGGAACAGTATGATGTTAGCATGAGTTGTACTGAGCCGGATCCAATCTGGAATTAAGAATGCTCCAGGGCATTTTTAATAATCTGTCATTCATTTGAACTCTAACCTTCTTTAATTCACAGAATCTGGTAATGCAGATGTATACTTCAGCTGCATACGTTTCTTTTTCTTTCTTTATCTTAGTGTGAAACTGATGTTCGTGTGTGAAGACTTGGAAGTAGAAAGTGTTCATTTAAAATAGACTCAAAATTTAGAAAGAATTGTAATAGTTTGGTTTCCTGGTTTTCTGCCATTCTGAAATATAAAGTTAAATTCTGGTACTAATTTTATTAAAATTCTTGAAGTACTGTCATCAATTAGCCTTTCTGAAAGCCATAATGGCAGCCCCGCAGAGCTCAGCGAGCTGCAGGGCTGAGGTGCACGCAGGCAGTGCCAGCTGCCGTGGGCAGACCTGGGCCAGCACTGACACAGCTCATACAGAGACAGTGCAGCACTGGGAGACACTGAAGGGCTGCTTGGTTTTCCAGATACTCTACTGATACACAGCAGTGAAATAAAGACACTTTTCTGTGTAAATAAATCTTAAAGATGCCTTTGTGTTAATTTGTTTTCTAGATGCCGTGCACCTGTATGCTCTTGAAAGAAACATTTTGCTGTAGGTCCGAAAGCTAAAATTTTGCTCTAGTAGTACTGGACTTGTCTCTGTTCCATGCAGTAGGACTAGGAGATTGTAAATCAATGTTTTTATTTTAAGCTCAAAGGTGATATAGTTACATTCTTTTAATCATTCTAATGCTGATATCAAATAAGAGAATATTGCTTATATTAAGAATTTGGAGACAAAAACTGAAAATTTTAATATGAAAACTACTTGGGTCAAATTTAAAAAGTGAAGGAAGAACTAGCTGGCAAATATTGTGCTGGAAGTATAAATGAAAATATAAATTTCAAATCTGCATACATTAATGATTTGTGGTTTGAAGAAATTTTCGTATTCAGATTTTCAATTTTATTCTCTGAAACTTTGACCTCTTTTTTTTTTACTAACAATACATAAGTATATGATTGATATACCTTAATAAATCTAAAGCTTTGTTGTTTTTTTTTCTGAAGCCTTTAATTTTCTTAAATGGTTTAAAATATGGACGTCTATTTTAGTACACTCTTGCTCCTTCTCAGACTCTGTGGCTTGGTTTGTACTTCTCGCACCTACTTACAGAAGTGTTTCTTTACTCTTTGAATCGGAGGTTGAACATCACTAATTTCAGTGCTATGGACAATTCTGATACTGCCTTAATGAAATACATCTTAAACACTGGCGGGTATCAGATGGGTCCTAGAATTGCATTGATACTTATTATAGTGTTTATAAAGATGCAGATGCAGCTGGTGTAGAAGAGATAAGTAATTTATGTATGATATTCAAACAGTGTGAGTCCTACTCACTGTAATTTGGTAGAGGCTGGGTTATTAATGTTGCTTTATTGAACTTGGCATGTGGTAGGCAAGCAAAGCAATGAGTGTTTAGCTTGAACAAAAAAACTGGTTCATAAACACTAATTGCACTCTACTAGAATTTAGATAACAGCAAACAACAATTAAACATGAACTTGGGGGAAAAACATCTTGCTTTCTCTATAAGCAAACTGATAATATGACCACAGCTGAATTTTTTCTGCTTTCAGACAGGTGTCATGTATAATCTTTGTTATTTAAATAATGCGATAGAATATAGCGTGCACTTTTTTACCTTTAAGTTTTATTTTCTGAAAGCAGGAAGTTTTTGTGAATTCCTGCAAGTAATTTACCCTAAATCCAATTCACATTTACCAGTGCAAACCCTAACATTTACCTTACATTTTTTTTATTCCATACTTCAGAGATTCTTGGTTGTCTTGCGAAGAGTAGCCTGGTGGGTATGATAACAATGTGGGTATGAATAACAATGCATGCTATTGTCTTCCTTATGGCGAGAATCAGAATAATTTGGGTTACAAGAGACCAGTGGAGGCAACACATTCTAAAACTCTGCTCAAAGCAGGGGCAACTTTAGAGCTGGATCCAATTCCCTTAGTTTGTTCAGTCCAAATTTGAAAACACCCAGTGTGTGGAGAATCTACAGCTTCTCTGAGCAACTTGTTCCTGTGCTGAAGGGTGTGCACTTTTTGCTGAAAGGTATATGGATGGTCATGAAGAGTTTTATGTTAAAATACATAACTATTATCCAAATCTAAAATTTCTTGTGATGGATTGTCATCTCCCTGAACTAAATAATATAAATGGTGCAGAAAATATTTGTAAATTGTGTCTGTATGTGAAAGTGGCCCAGGTTAAATATATTGCTGGCAGTATGTGTTACATTTGTATAAATCTTACTTGTTAAAAGATGGATTCATAGAAACACTACTTTTTTTTTTTTTTTTTTTAATTATGTTCTGTTTGTTTTTCAAACAGGAATGGATATGAACAGCTGCTTAGTAAAAGTAGTTCCTTTTGTGTGTGGATGTATTTTTATATTTACATAGTTCTAAGATTTATTTATTATGAGGAATATGGAGCTTAAAAATTTCTCTTTATTTTAGGTAGAAGAACTGATGAATGCATTGGAAAAGACTAGACAAGAATTAGATTCTACCAAAGCCCGTCTTGCCTCAACACAGCAGTCTTTGGCTGAGAAGGAAGCACATCTAGCTAACCTAAGAATAGAGCGGAGAAAGCAACTTGAAGAAATTCTAGAAATGAAGTAAGTACATTGCTTTCTCAAATTTCTAGGAAAACTAATTTTTTTTTTCCTAAAAGAGTGTTTTTCTCACTGTCTAAATCTATGATCTCCTAATAGCAGGACCGAAGTACCTTTGCAAATACAAAAAAGAGAGGGTGTTCATTTTGCTTATTACATTACATTCATTACGTTACTTAACAGTTGACATGAGAAGAATTTTTGAATGCTGCCTTTTGATACATGCAATTAAAATATCATTGCAGTGTAACTTCCATGAAAAACGGAGTATTTAAGGCCCCATCTTTCATTGAGAAATGTATATTGGAGTTTTCTTAGTATCATGCAAGGAAAAGGGTTTGTCAACTTTGTGGATGGTGCAAAAATGATTGAATTGAATTAGTTAAAAAAAAAAAAAAAACAAAACACAAAACAAACATCTATCAGTGTACACATTATCACAATCTATAAGCATACTGAACTGACAAAGGAAGACAGACGTGTAATTAAATCTGTCTTCCTATGTGTGATAAGGGAAAATGTCTGTAATAAGGCTTTAGCGTGATCCTTAAAGTTAGCATTTGCAGAAAAGAAGTGAAGTTGTTGTGGATCAGAAAACCTGGTAAGCATATAGTTAACAGTCAACAAATAAAATTCACTGTTCTAATTCCCAAACTGTTTTGTTAGGGGAAAAAAAAAAGAAAACAAAAAACATTTGAGATATGTGTAGCTTTATCTAGGTAGTTGTGGTTATCCTGACATTTCAAAGAAAGGTAAATCATCAGAAAAAAAATATCTTAATAATGCTTTAAAAAAGACAAGGTGGCAGATGGCCACATATGCTTCCTGCAATTTTATGAAAGCAGATTTTAAGAATGGCTGCCATCTAATATAGGTACGGAAACAGTCATGTTACAATCAAAAGAACTTCTGCTTTTTATTTTAATAAGGTGCATATCAATTGGTAATATGTGTGATTTATAGTATTATGTGATATATCATATACGTTTTTGGGTTACTGAGTGTTTTAATGTACATATTGGTTCACCTGTGATAACCTAGACATTCACAACAAGCATATTTCATGCAGGTATGTATTTTCTGTATAGAGCTTTGATTGTTTCTTTGAGAACAAAACAAAATGTATAAAATCATATTGCACGGTATTAAGAACAGAGAGCACAGATAGTGAGAATGAGTGATGCTATCACATCATAATGAGTGAAATTTTCACATGATAATTTCTAGTTACTGTTTCTTTGTACTACCTCTTAGACAACATTGGAACTGAATCTAGGAAGAAGCAAAAACTGAAAGTTTATTCATTTTTTGAGCTCTATGTTTGAGAATAGCTACATAACTTCAATTAAACACAACACTGTCTAATTAAGTAAGTGTAAACCTTAATTTTACTTAGGCCTACCAGATTATTTAACTTATTAAAATACACAAAACAACATAACTTAGATTGTACATGTATTAGTAAAGTCTTTTTAAAATAATTCAGATATTTCATTGCAGTACATTTTTTAATTTTTGAAATTGCTTACTGAATAAGTGCAAAAAGCCACGAACTTTATGAAACTGCTATAATACAGTATACTACATAAGGTCTTAAATTATTCTTTTGAACAGGATACTCTCAAGAACAGATTGCAGGTGCTAGCTAAGAACTAGAAACCCCTGACAGAATAATTATAATTTTGTTTTGTAGTAACTTAGTACAGTAGAGTTTCTTCATCTAGCTTCTCTCTGATACTTTAAGATAATTAATTAATTGGAAGAATTAACTGTAAATTCTATTTATCACTTAATTATTTGATATGGAGTGATTATGGTTCTTGTCTGCCAGCTTCCAGTTAAATAGGCATGAACTGTGTTTAAAAGCATTCATGATGATTTCCTATGCTTATATTATGTTCAAGTTCCAAACATAACTCTGCATTCTGTGTCCATCTGGCTGACATTGCCAAGATCCATCTTAATTTACAGACTACAATCCGTTGTTAGTTTTACGTAATTTCTCCAGTTGTCATTACATGCCCCCATATAAATTCAGTTATTTAAGGAAGTTTAGAGTAAAACTGGATAGGAGCTTAATCTTGTTCATTATCTGCCTAGTCTTTTTGAACTTGGAACTAGATAAGTACTATTTAAGGAAAGGTAGTTGGATGGAAGAAGATGAATATGAGGTTACTCTTATCTTGATGCCAGTATGTAAAAATCTGAGATTGGGAGAAGGATTTTCATGTACTGTTGCTTTCTAAATATGGGACTTCTTCTTTTTTTTTTTTTTTCCAAATGTATATAAAAATATTACTACATTAGTTCTGGAGGAAATATTTTTGTTATGGTTGTATTTTTGGGACAGTGTATAACTCATACTGACATTAATGGAAGTTACGGATTCATGTTAACAGCAAAACAAACCATGTGTTCAAATCCATCATAATGCCTAATTGTCTTAATGCTTTATGCTCTTTCTGAGCATAGTAAAATCAATGAGCTTATTTCATAATAACTGAGAGTGTTTTAAAAAGCCTTCTGCATTACATAGTGTGACAAAAGTCATTTTGAAACATTTTTAAAGAATGCTTCACATTCATAGAAAGGTTTTAATTGGCTTGAAATTAGAAATTGATAGTTAAAGATATCTCTGTTTTTGTTTTCTGAAAGTTTGCTGTAAGGAGTGGAAGCCACTGAGAACTTCCGGAAGGTTTCTTAGAAATGCTCATTCATTTGTTTTTTTTACATTAATTTGATGACCTTTCAGTGACTTAGTTACATTTAACATACATGGCACTTAGCAGTCCACGACTAGGGAATTAATTTACAAAAAACTGAACTTCATGTTTTGACTTGAAGACTGACTAGTGAATTCTCAACCTTTGAGATCCATCTGTTAATTACTGTGAATTTCCTTTAGTAGTCAACTCAGTACACCAAAGTTTCTAATAAAATTCTTGCCAACAGTTTGTAAAGTGGGCTAATTTCATTGCCTTTAATGGAATTCATGCCATCACCCGTGGGTATTACTAAACCAGTTTCTTTGGAAGTGACTTTGCCCCATAATTCACGTTGAATTTTCAGAAGAAAAAATACATGTTTTCTCTAATGTGGAATAAATCAGATTACTTCAGTAAGGAAGCATTAAAGACCTAATAAAATAACCAGCTACTAGTCCTTTAATTCAATAACAAAAATAGATCATTGCTGTGCTGTGGAAAAAAAAAAAAATAAATTAGATTTTTCAGTGAATTTTCTTAGTGACAGCATAAAATTAAACATCCCTTCCTTTGTTTAAGAATGTTCCCCGTTTTTTCACTGAAAATAATAAATGAGTATTGCTTATCTCTGTTTTTCAGTATGTTTACTTTATTCATTTAACAGCACCTGTGTATGGTCAAGCATGAAATATTTGTGGGAAGAAAGGGATAAAATGTTTTTTCCACCAAGCATTCAGTCCTACCAGCTGCCACCCTTTGCGGGAGTAGTAGAAGTATGCTGTATGCATATTTCAATTTTACCTCCTGGATTGGTCATTCAGCTGATTTGCCACCAAAGAGCAGGGTAGCTGCATTTACCACTAAATGCCAGTCTTGAATGGGAGACCATGGTTGGGATCTGTTTGTTTCAACAAGTTGTGCAGGAGCAGTTTCACAGAGCAACCAAGTGATTTGTTGCTGGATACTGCAGGGAAGTGAACCAATGTGAGTTTGTTGGTTACTTTGCCTAACTTGTCCTTTTTCCCCCTTTTTAGTGGATTTAATCCAGGCATGGATGCATAAAAATAACCTCAGGTGGACTTTTCTGGATATTACAGAGATGAAAGGGGACCTAGAATGAATTCTAGAAGCCAAGGACTACAGCCTAAGGAGAAGGCTTTATGATATGTAAAACTAAATGGTCACAATTTGTAGGAAATTCAAAATATTTTATGGAATATTAGTGGCAGGGTATAAGGAAACTTAAAATTCATCTGGTTTTCCCCAGACATATCCCCAGATTTCCATCAATAAATTTTACTCAAGTAGAAGTTGGGGATTTCACGTCTGTATAGTAGCTTAGCAGGAGCTGCATGGCTGGTGCATATTTGGAGAACAGACATTTTTCCAACACCTGGGTAAATCAGATCATGTCCCTGCCTTACATTCTTCTATTACTTTTTCCATCCATCTCTATGCAGACTAGTGCTTAGGGAGGGAAAGGAACTCAACATATTTTTGCCTAGTTACATCCTACCTACTCCACCCCTAGAGGTTCTGTTACCCACAGCACAGAGGTTTCTTTCTCATCGCTGTGGCTACAGCTGTGGTCAAAATCTCTTCTGAAATCTCTCTGTGAGCAGCAAATCCAATGCATCTGGAATATTTCAGAGTAATTTTGTATGCAGCTCACCTGTTCAGTGCATGCATAGGCCAGAAGCATGAAACTCATTGGCTGGGAAATCCTTCCTTGGTGAAAGTTAAGGCTTTTGCTTGCATGTAGTCATTAAGTTGTTTTCCTTTTTTGGGGGATCTTCCAAACACAACGAGACTGAGGAAAACAATGCTGTAAAAAAGGAGAAACTGGCAAATACACTTTGAAATTTCTTGGAGCTCACTCTTTAAAACCACTTAAAATGATATTTTCCCTACGGGCACAGTCTGCTTCCTGTGCTAATAGTCATGCAGTGGTTTTATTTTGTGTTGCTTTCTTGCTTTTGTTTGGAAAAAAGAAAAAAAAAAAAAGCAAGAAAATAGATAATTCTTGTATAGGCTAGGTGTTATTAAAAAAAAAAAAAAAAAAAAAAAAAGTAGGCAAAATGTAGTTTATGCTTATTTTATAAATGCTGTTATGTTAAAAGATTGTCCGAAAAAGAGGCAGCACCTACCTTGAACATAGTGCTCAGCTAAATAAATAGTAGTGGATACAGGAAAATAAAGGATAGTCTTTGAATTGAATTCTAAGCAAATACAGCAGTCAGAATTCTTACACTATTAATAAGGTATTATTTTTGAAGTAGTATCATTACATTTCTTTTTTTACTTTGCCAGCTCTGCTATAACCTATGTTTGAAGAAGGATAGCTATGATAATTTCTCCCATGTGAATTCTTTAAAATAGCATATTTTTACTTGACAGCTTAGAC